AATATATATTTAAAAAATTACTTTTTTTTGCATCTTATTTACTTCATCAAAAAAATTAATTATGACTGATTTTTTGCTGATTATCAGTTCTTGGATTGTCTTCTCTTCATGTATATAGTTATTGGTAATAATAAATATTGTGAAAAAATCAAAAACTTTTAGTAATAAAGTATGACCGTGAACTAATAAAAATCAATAAACTATTCTAGAATCGATCTAGAATGAAATCTGTTACACAAAATATAATTTACCAAATATGGAAAATCCCTGACTGAACTAGTGAAAAATAATAAGATGTGGGAATATATTTACTATATAATTTTGTCTTTTTTGAAATTTGGTATTTTCTAAAGATAAATTGATTTTGTAATAAGCAAACCTCTCTTGTGCAAATAACAAATATTATAGAGAAGGAAATTACAAATGTAATGGTAGTTAAAACATTGAAATTGGCCTAGTAAATTATAAGATATAGGTATTTTTGTCTTTATAACTATCTTTTTACTTATTTGTTAACATAATATAGTCATGCATCTATATTTCACGATACTCACGGGGCCAATTTTAGTGTTTTATCTACTATTATGCTTGTATTTTTCTCATCTACAATATTTATTATACATAAGAGAGGTTTTTTTTAGTAAAAAATTGATTATCCTTAGGGAAATACCAGATTCTAAAAAAGATAAAATTTAATTAAAATCACCAAAATTCATATGATTTTTTACTAGTTCTAAAATAATTTAATTCGTGATCTGTATAACAATAAAGAAAATTATTAATATAATATGAAGAGAAATTTTGCAAATCAATAAGAAAAATCTAGTAGCCTATCTTTTCAATAATTAGTAATATAACAAAAACATGACTTTTTTTATAATATAATACTTAGAAATCTCAATATAATACTAAAAATTCATTTATAGATGATTTGTAATACTTTTATTAAAACTTTACTAACTTATTAAGCTCCAAAGCCAGATTTCTAACAAAAACCAAATATAAAATTGCAATTTTAGAATATTAATTTTTATTTTTACTAGACCACTTTCTTTGCTGCCCACCTCGTGTTTATACTTTTGTGTATAACAACTAATCTAGTTGTGGATTGTAAAAACTTTCAGTATTTTCTCTATTTTAATTTTACCTTCTTTTACATATTGAACAAATTCGTTATGCATATCCTATGCTATATACTTGTCACTTTTATTTATGTTACTTGCTAGAAAATATCTCTCTTATAGCATTCTAATTTTGGTAATATTCTCTTTTTAGCACCTTTCTTTTCAAATTTATAAGTTGCTCTAAGAGCCTAGCCCAAATTCAAAGTAAACTTAATCTTTTCAAAGTATAATCAATTTTTTGGAAGAACTATTTATTTCATTATGAGCTATAAATAGCAATCAAATTGTTATCAAATTATTAGTGTTTAAAGTTATATCAACAGATAATATATACTACTAATTCTTGTATTTTTTATATCTTTTACCAATTGGTTTTCTAGTAAATTAATCAATCACACTTTATTACATTATTATCAAATCTAATTTTCTAATTTTCTAATTTATTTACCAGTTTTTTTTTGTAAGATGACTTGGAATAAGATCTTGATATATAAAAAATATAGTAATTGTCGACTAAATAAGTTTTGACTATAGAAAATACATACAGGACAGATTTGACATTGGCATTTCCTATTTTTATGATGGTACAGTATGTGTTGATACTTGTAGTGTAGGCCTATAAATCTCTTTCTTGCAAAGTTTATCTAATTCTTCTATGGTAAGGATTCTCTATTTTCCTATACCAGAAACATCTCATACTTTAATATATCCAGGAAATTCACCTTTGTTAGAGTTATATTATGATTACTTGTAACTTTATATAACCTCAATAAATCTTATTTTATGTAACTTTCACACAATATATATAGTATTATAAAAGTTTGGCAGTATTATTTTATTTTTCAATTTGAATATATAATCCAAATTGTAATCTCTCAATTGTTCAAAATTTCAATTATAGAAATCTTCATGTTCAAAATTACAAATTGCATGCATAAAATTCTAAAATCATAGTAATTTTACGATCTCACATGTTTTTGGCCATTGCTACTTAAACCAATTAGAATTTACTGATAATGTATTATTGCTATTACTTGTATTTAATTTGAAGTTAATATAAACTCCAATTAATAATTTATAATTAGTTATATTATCTCTATTCTAGCTAGGATTTAAGTTTGCAACAGAAGTTCCTTTAATTTCTTTAATTGCATTTTCAATATCCTGCATTGCTATTATATCAAAATCTAAATGAATATTAATTGATCACATGTGATATCTAATTAATTGTATAAAATATTAATGAGATTATATGAGTTAATTTTTTAGTGCAGTAAAACCTCTATAAGCACATGCTCTTGAAACTAGAGTTGCAGTTAAAACAAATCTTTAATGGTGTACTGATAGTGCATCAGATAAAACTCCCAAACTGGTGCAATGATAACAAAACTAGAGTTATAGATGAAACTAATCTTCAATAGTGCACTATTGGAGCATCAGTTTTTTAGTAAAATTTATTGGTTTTACCTGCAACTTTACTTGAAACCAAATATTAGCAATATGCACTTAAGAAAAAGTGCATTTATGAAATCACATATATATTTGGATCAGAATAAGTATGCATTTAGAGATTGCATGCTTATAGAATACACTTATAAAAGTTTTACTATAGTATTACACAGGTCGAAAGATAAAAAATCAGGCACAAATCAGGTACCCGATTTTAAACTGATTACTACCTGATTACTACCTGATTTATGCATATTTTTGTACCAAATTTTTGGTACAAAAATATGCATAAATCAGGTGCCAATCAGGTAGTAATCAGTTTAAAATCAGGTACCTGAATTGTGCCTGATTTTACATCTTTTGACCTGTGTTATTATACCTGTGTGTGGTGAGAATCGATAGTTGTTTTTACTTTTCTGCTTTCAAAAAAACCCATATTCTTATATTAATTCTATACCACTTTGACTAATATCTCATTATATTATTAGATTAGCATTATAATAATGGTCTCTATTATCTAACATTATAATTATTGATTCAGGTTTTGGGTTTAATACCTCAATTACTTCATAAAGTGAAAATGCCATAAACCATGAATATTAAGGACTAGTAGTTGAATGCTTGAATATATTACTTTGTTGAGTTGAGTTGTAATATATATACAAAAATCAAATAAAGAGACCAGCCTTTTTGACCAAACCAATCTTTTTAGTTTCTCATTCTGTTTTAGGTAATATCTTTATCTTGTAGTCTACTAATATCAATGCAGTTTTTCATCTAGAATTAACTAATTTGCATTAAATTGTGCATTTAAATAGAGCAAGTAATCATACAAGTTCTTCAACTCATCATAAATCAAATCACTAACATTATTATACAATGTAACAAAAATTTGAAAAAAGCATAACAATTACTACAAGTTCTAATAAAGAGTTTATAACATTGTCCAAATGCATATAAGAGACAATGATTAATGCAAATGCTATAGAAGGTTGTTTTTTGTGAAGTAATATGAAAATGTTGTTTGTAATCCTGTTTGAAAAAATGCTTCAATTTTTCATACTCTACTAATAATTGTTTTTATAATAACAATGATATTAGCTATTATTTACTATGTAATATATTTTGCAGTACTTATTATTATTCACCTGAATTGTACATATTTTTAAATCAATAGGTAATATCTGAAAAAATTACATAACTATATTGTAAACATGTGTGGTATAATTTACCTAAATCTTATTGATATATGCATTTATTTCTCTCCAAAAAGTCAATTGCATAATAAAAATCTAGATACATAATGGTAAAAGAAAGTTGATGAGGTTGAAACCAAGCACATTATGAAATTACCAATTAGTTATATATTATTTTTAGCCAATCAAAATCGTGAATTTTGATAAACCCAGATCAGTCTGAAAATCAAAACAAGTGATTAAATTCAATTATCTAAAATTATATATATTGACATATCCACTCTTTCTACTATAAAGGCCTACGTGTTTATTAAATTAATCATAGCTTTGCTTAGACTATTTTATATGTAAGCAATGCCAAATAAACTTTATCTAATAGAAGTTACTTTTAATTGCATAATTAGAATTAAATCCTATAAGATTAAATTATTAAATTCTTAATAGCTCTTACAGGTATTTTTCTGATATCCTGGATTTAATATCTGGATTTAATATTCAAACTAATCACTTTATTAATATACTGTATATCTAGTGTACTAAGTAATAATTCTTATAGTTTTTTTAATAACAATTAGATTATTATTTAGTTTTACAGATGAATATAAATAATTTTTTATTAATCTGAGCATTAATATAAACAATGTAATTTATGAATAGTTATGTTATAAGTACCTTCACATTCATCGTTAGCAAAAGTTCATTATTAATTAATAGGGTTGTTGATATAATATAAGAAATTTTTTATTATAAATAGGTGAACGTTATTTACTGATCGATATAATTGAAAATATAAAGCATGAATGCAGCATAATAGTACGACACAATGATCATAATCAATATTTAGTCTTATTGCATTCTAAAGCATCCACCACAATAAATTCAATAAAAAATCTGATTGGCTGGTTTGATTAAACAGACCGATCAAATTCGTATTAAGTCTGTTGAGATAGGCGCTTGAGAACGCCCTTTATTAATTGAACTACATCAATTCTGAGTTACTTTATTTGTGTTTTATATCTTTTACACAATTAGTGTGTACATTTTTACATTTTGAACAAATACATAAGTTTAAATTGAACGTAAAAGTGGTACTTATTTGACATACTCCTCACATTCCTTTTAGTTAACAAATATCTCATAAACTAAAAAATGCGATATATACGGCTTATGCCATAAAATTACACAAATCCTACATGTGGAAAATATTTAAAATGCACCTTCTCAGATTCCCTTATGATGTCCAATCATAACTGGAAAGAAATGTTGATAGCATATTTTGAATTTCATGTATATCAATAGTTTTGCTAATACGTTCGTTTAACAATTTCCGAATGTCTCGTGTATCAATATGTTTACTAATATATTGACAGTTTGAAGATGATTGTGATGATATATTATCTTTTAATAATTTCTTTTTCTTCTCATCAGCTATTAAAAATTTTTCTTTTATATAAACCATTTTATGCGATATTTCAGGTACTATTAAAAGCTTCCACCATTTATAAAGGTTTAAAAAAATTTCACCTGCAGTAGGTCTCTCTTGTGGATTTGTATCCATGCACTGTTTGGCCAATTCAATAAAACAGTCAGGTACCATATCAGTAAATATTGGTCTCAATCCGCCAATAATGTTTAGTGCAAGTAAACTATCAAATTGATATTCATTAAAAGGTTTGGTTTCGGTTGATAGTTCTGACATAATAATACCAAAACTATAAATATCAGATTTTTGTGTATATTGTTTGCCTTCCAAAACTTCAGGAGCAATATATGGCATTACTCCATAAATTACTGAAGAATTTTCACTTTTATTTTTGGACAATCCTAAATCTGCAATATAAGAAACGCTATGTCCACTAACATGTTTATTTATCAAAATATTACCACTATGAAGATCATTATGCGTATATCCGGCTTTGTGAATTTTAACTAAATCATTTGCCATATTCACAAGTAGTGTTAATTTAACTTGCCATGTGTATTCTTCAGAGCTTTCTTTTAATGATTTATAAAGATCTCCCTTATTTGCATATTGAAATACCATCAAATATTGTTTTTTATCATCTTGTGTTATCCCGTAAACTTCAAGTCCACTTTTACATTCCATATGACTTTTAAATTCTTTTAAAAAATCGGATGAACATTCTGAATTAGGTAAAGTTTTTAGTGCCACTTTATATTTGCCTTTACGAGATCTCTTATATTCTCCTGCAGAACCTTTAACAACTCGTTTTCCATCTAACCAAATTGCAGAAAACACTTTACTAAATCCTCCTTTACCAATAAGTTTTACTTCATTTAATTTATTAAACGGAATCCATTCAATAAAATCTGTATAATTTTTAGCTTTTTGCTGAAATTCTCTAATATAATTATCAACATCTTCGTATCCACTCTTATATCCACTTTTCCATTCTAAATTAGGATCGCATGTTGAACACCAAAGCTTGGATGTATTATATTCCTTGCATGTCGCACAGTTTCCATAACATGGATTTCGTTCTGATTTCCTTAATTGCTCTTTTAAGACATTCACAGTTTCTTCATAATCGTTAATTTTTTCATAATCATTAATTTCTTCATCATTGTTAATATCTTCATCTGCCAAAATTTTAGCAAGATCATGTAAGGCTGCTTCTTCTAAGATTTGTTCGTTACTCAAATTTACGTTAGCTGCCGATTTATCTGCTTCAAGCTTTAATATTTCTAAAATATGCTCGAAAGTTGTATTGTTTTTGTTAATTTCACATGATTCTTCATTAAGGAATTTGTTTAATAGGGTTAAAATATTTGTGAAAATCTTTTTATTGATAGTAGTTGTCCTCGTTAATTGGTTGAAATTTTTGATTGCATTTGCAACCCATTCTTTAATAATGGCTAAGCTTTCTTGATTTTCAATGAGGGATGCTAACATAGTTCTGAAGTTTTCTTTGTTAGCCGCCAAGAGTGGTAAGACATCTAAATTATTTATGTTGAAATCTTCTTTGAAGATATCTCCTTCTTTTACTAAGTTGATAAATTCATTTACTTCTTTGGTGGCCACTGTTAATGCTTCTTCGAATAGATTTTGTTTAGAAACTTCTCTAGCACTTTCTTGAGTCAAAGCTTTGTCTGCAGTACATCCAAAATTTATTTCTACAGACCCATAAAATGATCTCAGTCCAACGCAAGGATATAAATCCTTTGAACTTTTTAGTTTATTGAATGCAATTCCTAAGTGCACTCCGTTCTTAGTGTAGAGTATATTATTATTCTTAAAATTTAAATAGCATCCAATAACATCACCTGTACTAAAGGTTGGACCGTATGGCTCAATTATTTCCGAGTGAAATAAATATCCATCATCGCTATGATAGCCCCATGATTCATTTTCCAAACCTGGCATCGAGTTTAGATTAACATCTTTTGTACAAAATCCAATTCCGATGATTCCATTTTCTTCTTTATTAGAAATAGTAACTTCAAAATAAAACTCCTGCTGTAAAGAAATTGACTGATTCGTACGTATTGCAGTGCTGTCGTTGGCCCTTTTATCGGAGCCTAGGTATTCAATTTTAAACTTGTTTGAATTTTCCTCGCTAGAATCCACGATTAAATAATGATCTTTTCTATTGTAAATAGTCCACAAGGTTTGTAACGCCATATTACGTATAAGTTTTTATAAGATAGAATGTAAATTGACAATAAGTTATAAAAGTCCGAATGAAAAAACGTTTAGCTTATTTATATATGTTTTTAAGTTTATAAATTTATTGTAAATGGGAACAGAATTCAAATGGATTCGGAGTTCTTTAGTTAATTTAATGTTTTATGATAGCATTTTCATATGAAACTTAACCCTAATTTAACTAAAAAGTTCCAAGTTCCATTTCTACGTACTTACTGCACAACATATGTACTGATATGTTCTCTTGATCTCTATTATGACGGATTTATAATAAAATTGCTATAAAAAAAATTGTCCATTGTTGTAATGGAAATTATGACGGATATTATGCAACATTGGGGTCATTTGATATGTAATAGAACACATGAAAATTGGAAAGATCAAATAGGAACCATTTTTGGAGGTTTCATTTTGCCCTTTTTCGGTTAATCACAGAGATTTAGCAACATAAACCTAGTCTTTCAATTACTGTAATTATCGTTTCTTTCATTTCTATAAATTAGAATTTCTTTTTATCATTTCGACATAGACTTTAATACTATTGACATTTTCTATCGAACAATCCTTGGACTAGTGATTTAATTCACACTAATTTTTTATTGGGGTATTGGGATCTGTCCGTTTAGGTTATCTGGGCTTATCTGCATCTAATTTATCTATACAGTACTTAACAAATAATCAGATAAGCCAGCTATATTGTGAGTCCCGGAATTCACTCTCCAAGCGTGAATATAGGTCACAGAACAAGCGCATTTTATGCACTTGATGAACTTATGGCTAGTGATGCGCGAGATGCGGATCACGTGCGTGATTAACTGGAAATAATCGTTATAACAAGTATAGTCATATGATATGATGTCATTTATTTTAAATGCCAATATGCCATCACAAGATCACGTACGTTGTGAGCGGCTCCCCAACAGTCACGAGCCATATTTTTTTTTCTTTATTACTCTATTATTTTTTTTTTTATATGTTATTAGTATTATTATGTCGTTGGGAAGAAGATGGGAAAGATCGGCACTACCAATTATAGATTCTCATAAAGAGGGACAATTCGTCCCTAGAGACAATTCGTCCGTAGAGACAATTCGTTCCTAGAGACAATTCGTTCCTAGAGACGAATTGTCCCCATCTCAGCCGATACTAGTTTGTAATTGCTTTTGAATGAGAATTGTATCGCGTTTTTCTTTACTGTACAAAGTTAAAAGTAAGATAGTAAAAATTATCCGTTATGTACGCAGTAAGGTCTAAAACATTGAACCTAGGTGCCGCACAAAAAATGCGCGGCAGATCCTCGATTTTGATTGGCTAAAAAATTAAGCCGGAATTACTCATAATTTTACTAATGAAATCGCAGCCGCCCATTAAATGAAAATCGTTCCTGGGTCAATTTTATCATAATGCATACTTATTTTTTAAAAATTTCTATTTTTGTAATGAAAAAATTAAAAAGTGTTAATTCCGGCTGGAATTTAGTAAACAATTTTGTAATGCGGGCCAAAATTTCGAGATCTTCGGCCGTTAGCCAATCAAAATCGAGGATCTGCCGCGCATTTTTTGTGCGGCACCTAGAGTAAATGTCAAAAACATTAACCATAGCTGCCGCAACAAATTTGGACCGGCAGATCCTCGATTTTGATTGGTTAACAGCCGAGGATCTTCGAAATTTTGGCCCACATTACAAAATTGGTTACTAATTTCCGGCTGGAATCAATAATGCCTGATGAAAGACAAAATAGTTTCGTCTAGACAAATGACGAAACCATTTCGTCTGGCAGCTTCAATTAGATGAATGACGAAGCTTGTGATGAATGATGAAACTCGTGATGAATGACAAAACTTGTGATGAATGACAAAACTCATGATGAATGACAAAACTCATGATGAAACTCCGTGAATATAGATTAGTTTATGAGAAAAAATAAAATGTGCGACTTTTGCTTTAGGAATCATTAAATACATAGATTAGTTTATGAGAAAAAATAAAACATATGACTTTTGCTTTAGGAATCATTAAATACTGGCTAGTGCATAAACGTTTTCTAATAATAAAATTTTGTATTATTACGATTTCTTTGTTTTTATCGTTAAAGTTGTTTATATTACACTAAGATTTGAAGATCCTACAATTTTTATTGGTTCCGAGCCTCGATACCGATTAACTAGCCACGTAACAACGTAAACTGAGTTCATGAATCGAGTCCTACATTCTCAGAACAGAGATGATGATTTCTGCATTGATGGAATTTTGCAGAAAAATCTTGGAAATGGTTTGTAAAATTGTGGCTTTTGGCCAAGACTTAGGTTCCTTGCTCAACATAATGCCAGTTGACATTTAATTTTGGCCAGAATTTGCAACTATAATGCTGGCCGCTTTATGTAATTCTGGTTAAATCACAGAATTTTTGCAGAATAATCATTTTGCATGAACGAAATTGTTATTTTGTCACCACAGAAAATCATTATCCTGCTATAATACTAATATTAAACATTGTAAGACCAGTTACACCATAGCACAACTCTAACCTTAAGACCCAGACCAAATCTTTACAGCCTCTTTCTGTCTACTGATTCAAGGTTAAGAAGTCTTGTGACAATTAGTTGGTTAGTTTTAATTATTCTCAATTAGCTACACTTTCTCAGTATGCATGAAGCCCATCTCTAGTTTCATCAATCGTTAATTATCTGTAGTTTCATCTATAGTTTTGTCTATAGTTTTGTCTATACATCAGCGAAATATACTAACGTAAACTTACGCAAGTTATTACACCCCGAAATATTGTGCAATAATTACGGTTTGGACATAATATTGCACAGAAATTGTGCAATATTGCGCAATATATAACATAATATTACAAAATATATTACGCAATATTACGAAAAAATAACATAAAAATACGCTATAAATTGCGAAATATTTCGAAATAATTCGAAACAAATCAAAATAGATACAAATGAATCAAAA